TACCACAAAAAAAAAAAAAAAAAAAAGACACAGGCTTGCTGAATGGATACAAAAACAAGCCCTGTATATACACTGTTTACAACAGACCCACTTCAGACTTAGGGACATATACAGATTGAAAATGAGGGGATGGAAAAAGATATTCCATGCAAATGGAAATCAAAAGAAAGCTGGAGTAGCAATACTCATATCAGATAAAATACACTTTAAAATGTTACAAGAGACAAGGAAGGACATTACATAATGATTAAGGGATCAATCCAAGAAGAAGATATAACAATTATAAATATATATGCACCCAACATAGGAGCACCTCAATATATAAGGCAAATCCTAACAGCTTTAAAAGAGAAAATAAAGGGCTTCCCTGGTGGCGCACTGGTTGGGAGCCCGCCTGCCGATGCAGGGGACACGGGTTCGTGCCCCAGTCCAGGAGGATCCCACGCGCCCTGGAGAGCTGGGCCCGTGAGCCATAGCCGCTAGGCCGGCGCGTCCGGAGCCTGTGCTCTGCAACGGGAGAGGCCACAACAGTGAGAGGCCCGCGTATCCAAAAAAAAAAAAAAAAAAAAAAAGAGAAAATCAACCGTAAAACAATAATAGTGGGGGACTTTAACACCTCACTTACACCAATGGACAGATCATCCAGACAGAAAATTAATAAGGAAACACAAGCTTTAAATGACACAATACACCAGATAGATTTAATTGATATTTATAGGAATTCCATCCGAAAACAGCAGATTATGCTCTCTTCTCAAGTGCACACGGAACATTCTCCAGGACAGATCACATCTTGGGTCACAAATCAAGCCTCGGTAAATTTAAGAAAATTGAAATCATATCAAGCATCTTTTCCAACCACAATGCTATGAGATTAGAAATCAATTACAGGGAAAAAAATGTAAAAAACACAAACACATGGAGGCTAAACAATACATTACTAAATAACCAAGAGATCACTGAAGAAATCAAAGAGGAAATCAAAAAATACCTAGAGACAAATGACAATGAAAACGTGATGATCCAAAACCTATGGGATGCAGCAAAAGCTGTTCTAAGACAGAAGTATATAGCGATGCAATCCTACCTCAAGAAACAAGAAAAATCTCAAATAAACAATCTAACCTTATACCTAAAGGAACTAGAGAAAGAACAACAAACAAAACCCAAAGTCAGTAGAAGGAAAGAAATCATAAAGATCAGAGCAGAAATAAATGAAATAGAAACAAACAATAGCAAAGATCAATAAAACTAAAAGCTGGTTGAGAAGATAAACAAAATTGATACACCTTTAGCCAGACTCATCAAGAAAAAGAGGGAGAGGACTCAAATCAGTAAAATCAGAAATGAAAAAGAAGTTACAATAGACACCACAGAAATACAAAGCATCATAAGAGACTACTACAAGCAACTCTATGCCCATAAATTGGACAACCTGGAAGAAATGGACAAATTCTTAGAAAAGTATACCCTTCCAAGACTGAACCAGGAAGAAATAGAAAATACGAACAGACCAATCACAAGTAATTATATTGAAACTGTGATTAAAAATCTTCCAACAAACAAAACTCCAGGACCAGATGGCATCACAGGTGAATTCTATCAAACATTTAGCAGAGAGCTAACACCCATCCTTCTCAAACTTTTCCAAAAAACTGCAGAGGAAGGAACACTCCCAAACTCATTCTACGAGGCCACCATCACCCTGATACCAAAACCAGACAAAGATACTACAAAAAAAGAAAATTACAGAATAATATCACTGATAAATACAGATGCAAAACTCCTCAGCAAAATACTAGCAAACAGAATCCAACAACACATTAAAAGGATCATACACCATGATCAAGTGGGATTTATCTCAGGGATGCAAGGATTCTTCAATATATGCAAATCAATCAATGTAATACACCATATTAACAAATTGAAGAATAAAAACCATATGATGATCTCAATAGATGCAGAAAAAGCTTTTGACAAAATTCAACACCTATTTATGATAAAAACTCTCCAGAAGGTGGGCACCTCAACGTAATAAAGGCCATGTACGACAAACCCACAGCAAACAGCATTCTCAATGGTGAAAAACTGAAAGCATTTCCTCTAAGGTCAGGAACAAGACAAGGATGTCCAGTCTCACCACTATTATTCAACATAGTTTTGGAAGTCCAGCCATGGCAATCAGAGAAGAAAAAGAAATAAAAGGAATACAAATTGGAAAAGAAGAAGTAAAACTGTCACTGTTTGCAGATGACATTATACTATACATAGAGAATCCTAAAGATGCTACCAGAAAACTACTAGAGCTATTCAGTGAATTTGGTAAATTTGCAGGATACAAAATTAATGCACAGAAATCTCTTGCATTCCTATACACTAACAATGAAAGATCAGAAGGAGAAACTGAGGAAACAATCCCATTCACCATTGCAACAAAAAGAATAAAATACTGAGGAATAAACCTACCTAAGGAGGTAAAAGACCTGTACTCAGAAAACTATAAGACAGTAATGAAAGAAATCAAAGATGACACAAACAGATGGAGAGATATACCATGCTCTTGGATTGGAAGAATCAATATTGTGAAAATGACTATACTACACAAAGCAATCTACAGATTCAGTGCAATCCCTGTCAAATTACCAATGGCATTTTTTACAGAACTAGAACAAAAAATCTTAAAATTTGTATGGAAACACAAAAGACCCCAAATAGCCAAAGCAATCTTGAGGAAAAAAAACAGAGCTGGAGGGATCAGGCTCCCTGACTTCAGACTATACTACAAAGCTACAGTAATCAAGACAATATGGTACTGGCACAAAAACAGAAATATAGATCAATGGAACAGGATAGAAAGCCCAGAGATAAACCCACACACCTATGGTCAACTAATCTATGACAAAAGAGGCAAGGATATACAATGGAGAAAAGACAGTCTCTTCAATAACTGGTGCTGGGAAAACTGGACAGCTACATGTAAAAGAATGAAATTAGAACACTCCCTAACATCATACACAAAAATAAACTCCAAATGAATTACAGACTGAAATGTAAGACTGGACACTACAAAACTCTTAGAGGAAAACACAGGAAGAACACTCTTTGACATAAATCACAGCAAGATCTTTTTTGACCCACCTCCTAGAGTAATGGAAATAAAAACAAAAATAAACAAGTGGGACCTAATGTAACTTCAAAGCTTCTGCACAGCAAAGGAAACCATAAACAAGATGAAAAGACAACCCTCAGAATGGGAGAAAATATTTGCAAATGAATCAACAGACAAAGGATTAATCTCCAAAATATATAAACAGTTCATGCAGCTCAATATTAAAAAAACAAACAACCCAGTCAAAAAATGGGCAGAATACCTAAATAGACATTTCTCCAAAGAGGACATACAGATGGCCAAGGGGCACATGAAAAGCTGCTCAACATCACTAATTATTAAAGAAATGCAAATCAAAACTGCAATGAGGTATTATCTCACACTGGTTAGAATGGGCATCATCAGAAAATCTACAAACAACAAATGCCAGAGAGGATGTGGAGAAAAGGGAACCCTCTTGCGCTGTTGGTGGGAAATGTAAATTGATACAGCCACTATGGAGAACAGTATGGAGGTTCCTTAAAAAAACTAAAAATAGAATTACCATATGACCCAGCAATCCACTACTGGGCATATACCCAGAGAAAACCATAATTCAAAAAGACATGCACCCCAGTGTTCACTGCAGCACTACTTACAATAGCCAGGTCATGGAAGCAACCTAAATGCCTATCGACAGATGAATGGATAAAGATGTGGTACACATATACAATGGAATATTACTCAGACATAAAAAGGAACGAAATTTGGTCATTTGTAGAGACACGGATGGACCTAGAGACTGTCATACAGAGTGACGTCAGAAAGAGAAAAAGAAATATCGTATATTAAGCCATAGAATCTAGAAAAATGGTACAGATGAACAGTTTGCAAGGCAGAAACAGAGACACAGATGTAGAGAACAAATGTATCAACACCAAGGAGGGGAAAGCGGGGAGGCGGGGGTTGTGGTGGGATGAATTGGGAGATTGGGATTGATATATATGCACTAATATGTATAAAATAGATAACTAATAAGAACCTGCTGTATTAAAAAAAAATTCAAAAATTAAGAAAAAAGGATAACATTTTTTTAACCGAAAGATAATTTTAAATGCTCACCTAAAAAAAAGGTGTATGTAGAAAATACAGTGCTTTTAAGAAACATACTAAAGGTGGGAATTTGAAAACAGAATGAAAGAAAAACAGCTTATTTCTCAACAAAGATGTTACATTGTTACAACTGTAGTAAGATCTAAAGCATTTTGGTCTCCATCTTTGCTTTCTATTCAGGTCAGTCCTTTGGCTTTACACAGACTAGGTGCCTGATTAGCAGCACACAATTAAATTTTGGAGGCTTTTTAGGAGATATCCCATAGGGAGCAATCAGGCAGCAATTTAAAATTAATTGGTAGTGTGGAAGGCGATTTGCTTGAACTTGATGAAATATGCAGGGGCTTAAATTAATAATGTTTCATTATTTTTCTATAATCTGGAACATTCTGAGGCTGATAAGGAGGAAAATGTAGATTCAAGTATCTTGTATGTAAATCAACTGTTTTTTCCTCAGTTTCTCTAAAATGAGATATCACCAATACTGTTTTCTAAGCTTATTATTTTTCACTTTATATAGTATTCATCTTCATATGTCAATATACATAAACACATAAAATGTTTAGGGTCTGCCTAATTTTTCATCATAGTGCTATGCCAATTTAATTAATTTCGCATTGGTGAACATTTAGACTGTTCTCCATTTTTTGTTAGTATAAAACAATCCTCAAGAGGGCCCATATCGGGACTTCCCTGGTGGTGCAGTGGTTAAGAATCTGCCTGCCAGTGCCGGGGACATGGGTTTGGGCCCTGGTCCGGGAAGATCCCACATGACGCGGAGCAACTAAGCCCGTGCACCACAACTACTGAGCCTGTGCTCTAGAGCCCGCGAGACACAACTACTGAGCCCGCGCACCACAACTACTGAAGCCCACGTGCCTAGAGTCTGTGCTCCGCAACAAGAGAAGCCACTGCAATGAGAAGCCCGTGCACCGCAGTGAAGAGTAGCCCCTGCTCACCACAGCTAGAGAAAGCCCGAAGCAGCTAGAGAAAGCCCGAAGCAGCAACGAAGACCCAACGCAGCCAAAAAAAAAATTAATTAAAAAAAATAATTTTAAGAAAAGAGGGCCCATATCAGTGTCTCCTGATACTTAGTTCAGTGTTGACTCTGATGTGTTGGGCTTCCGGATGCTGTGTTCTTCTTTGTTTTGCTTTTGGCTAGACCTCCCCTCACTGCTGTGAGCCCCAGAGCAAAATTTGGGAAAAGTAGGCCATGTTACTTGTCTATTTATTTGAAGTAAAATTTCCAAAAAGTAAGTGTATAGGTCTCAGGTCATGGTTTCAGATCACAAGGCAGTGATGTTTAAGGACAGTTTGGAAAAGAAATTCTGGTTACTAAATTCAAATCCAAACTGATACATACAAGTTGTACCATGCTGGATGTCATCTCTGAATAAGTTTCTTAATCATAATTATAATATCACAGGTTGTGGTGAGGATTCAATGACATGGTATATTGAAAGTGCCAAGCTTTTTAAGTATTCTCTTCCTTCAGATGTCAGATTCCCACAGGGCTGTGAGTAGAATTTCAGAGTACAGGAGCTAAGTGTGGTTTGGTGTTGTGCCTTAGCATGCGTCCAGGCATTATTGCTCGCCCTTCGGGACCAACAGGCACTACACAGCCGTCCTTCTCCCCCCAAGCCCATCTCATCTTCTGACCTCTCCCTCTTGCTCACTCTGCTCCACACATTCAGCTCCTTGCTGTTCCTTAGCACATCAAGCATATGTGTGCCCTGAGGTCTTTTGTTGTTTCTTTTGCCTGAGATATCTACACCCAGCTATTCCTCTATGTACGCCCTTGCATCGACCCCTGATCTGTTTCTGATTTTTGCTGAGTTTATCTCAGCAGGGACTACATGACCACCCTATTCAAAAACTGCCACCTTCCTCTGCATATACCTCTCCTCACCCCCTTCTCTGCTACCCTCCTATCCCCTTACCCAGCTTTATTTTTCTTCCTAGCACTTTTCACCACTGGCCATACTATTAATATTTCTTTGTTAACTGATTTATTGTCTGTTTCTTTTCACTAGAATATAAGTTCCATGTGGGCAGAGATTTTTATCTATTTTGTTCAATGTTATATCCTCAGGTTGGAGAACAGTGCCTGGCATATAGTAGATGCTTTTTAAGAATTTGTTAAAAGAATGAATGAATGAATGAACAGATAGTTAAACAGGAAATATATATTGTTCATTTCTGAAGTATGAAGTTAATGAAGATACCAAGTTATTAAGCCACTTTGGCAGTTATTAAGCCTCTTTGTGGCTCCCATAGGCCTACTGCCTTTAGAAGGATCTCTTGAGATATAGTTTAATACATTTTATCATCATCATGGTCATCAGAATGATGGTAAAGATGACAATGAGAGGATACATTCCGTAAGTGTGTGATGCTGCACAATAATAATGGCCACTAATGAAGGAGCATGACACTCTGCCAGGCACCACACCATGTGCTCTCCCTACATGACTGCCTTTAACCCTCAGAACTACTTGGGAGGGACTTCCCATTATCCCTGTCTATATAGATGAGGAAACAGTTTTGGAAAAGGTAACCAACATCAAGATTGAAATCAAAATCATCTGACTTTGAAGTTTACTTTTAACCACTATTCTGCATTACTGAATTTGTTGTCAGAAGTACAGAAATATTAGATATCCAAAGCTGAATTCAAGGGGGTGGGTTATGGACACGAAAAATATTAAATACTGATTGAAATGGTGTCAATATAAAATATTCACCTGGGAGATCTAAAGCAAAGGGCAAGAGTAATGGCAGGTGTTGGAGACAGAGGGCAAGGGAGTGTCACTGGTGTTTACGTAAGTTAGCAGGGGAGGGGAATCACCTGGGCAAATTTGCCTTAGCTGAAGGAACTGGTGCTAGAGGACATTCAAGTTCCGCACACCTGGATTTAGCCTGGGGCTACTGCAGAGGCTCCTGAGAATAGCCATAGGCTGGGAGTGAGTGGGAGGGGGGGGCAGAAATACCAGGCAGAGTAGTTGGAGACTTAAGGTTTATCAGTTAACTTCTGAACCAGCTTTATGAATAGTATAATTTAAATGCTATATGCCCCTGTCCTGCATAAATTCTTTCCCCATGCTTGTATCAGATTTCTTTAAAATAGCACAGACTCTTTTATTATAGATAAAGTACTCATATTGAGTTTAAATGGCACAGTCCTTCAACAGTTATTTATTGCGCACTATTCAAGGAGGGTGGTCTACAGAGCTGAAGGAAGTAAAGGGGGTGATGGGGAAAACACAGACCTCAGAGACCTCTAGTTTCATTAAAGCTAGCTTTGCTTCCCTGGTAGCTGTGAATTGATAAAATAACTTGTGCATGGAGGACTTTTATAGTAGGATCATTGCCTAAGCCAAAATATGCATATAATGCATATCATGTGAAACAAGTCCTATAAATACTATTTTTAAAAAACCTCATTATATTACAAAGGAACTTCTTTTCTAAAATACCAGATACATGAGTTATCACCATAGGGCAAGGAATAAAAATTTGTACATTAATTCTTTTTAGAGTATCTATTTTTATTCTTGTGTTAAAAAGACCTTACTGTTCCTATTTCATCCTCTCAGCTTAATCTTTCCATTTTTCTGAAAAGCAAGACGTATCATGGAATAACTTGTAAAATAAGCAGAATTTATATGAACATACACTCTTTAAATCGTGACCACAATTATAATTTAATACTTCACCATTTCAAAGGTTTTGATTTAATTTAACTTATTTCAGAGTTATGAGGGGAAAAAATGGGGTCATAAATGTAAAACTACTTACAAAATACAAGTGAAATCATTATAGAAATATTTTCATGGTATAGATATTAAACAATTAGGTAACTTACTCTAGTTATTGTTATAAGTGGAATCATAAAGCATTCTTTCCCTGCCATAACTGTATTCTCTTTTTTAGTCTCAGAATGTTAATGTTTATTTATTGCTGTTTCTCAGATATAGTTGCTGGAAAAGGAGATGGTGGAGAGTCAATTTATGGACCCACATTTGAAGGTATGTATCTTTAAATTTTGTCAGTCACATTTTAATTGATTATTCAAATTTAACAGGACTGGACGATTTCAAAACCCCAAATTAGATAGTGTTTGGGGTAATATACTACAAGTACACATACTAAAAGTGGGAGTTTAAAATAGGGTAGGTGGGAAGGCAACCCAGTCCAGTTCAGAACAGCTTTGTACATAAAATTTTTCACTTGCCTAATTATGTTATTTCTTTAGGATAAGTTTCTAGCATTAGGATTGTAGGGGTAGAAGGGAATTTATATTTTTAAGGCTTGTACTTTGCCATGCTCACACTTGGAATTGGTACCTTGATAATCATCCTACTAAAACTGCTGTTGGGGATTCTGGAAAGATGATAGTGGTGGTGGCATAGTTCTTTAATTTTTTGAAATCCCAACATAAATACAGACAAAAAACATTAGATAGGAAAACTAAAGACCCATGGATAACACAACAAAACTAGGTGACAAGGTATCTACATGAATTCCACATATAAACAGGTAAGGACAAACTACCAACAGCCACAAAATCTGCATGGTATCAGCATGTATGTGAGAGAAAGCAGGGCATCTGACAGAGCTGAGAATATAGAACTCCACAATGGGCAATAGCAGTTGAGTGCATGGAGCCCCTCATAAGGCTTGAGGAGGCTGGAGCAGTCTAACCTATATGAACTCTCAAAACCGATCTGAAAGGCCTCTCTTCCAGGAAGGAAGAAGTGCTGGGAATGGAATAAAAATTATGCAGGTATCGGGACAACAGTGACAAAGAGGGAAAGGCAACAGAGTCAGGAAATCTCAGAAAGCAAGTTGCCACACAGCTGAACAACACATGAAAACAGCAGAAGAGGGAACTTTGTGAAGTTAGGAAAACTACCTTCCTTCTAAAGCCACACCTACTTCTAAACATTGAGGAATACTAATTTTACATAAAACTAAAGTTGCATTAAAAAGCAGCAGAAATTTTCATGATTATTTAAGAAAAAAAAAAAGAGCACAGTAATATCGCTACAGATAATGAAAGTACCCTAGAAAGAAGGCTCACAGAACAGAGCAAAACTGTAACAATTTCAAAACGAGCTAAAAGACATGAAGACAATGATATAAGACAGGAAAGAACTCATAAATCAAAATGAGGAAGCTTTAGACATGAGGTTACAGAATTAGAGAAAAGAATTAACAATAAAAGAAAATTTCAGAAATGAACAAATTAGGAGGAACACAAGACCAAATAGGCAGTCCAGTGGTTAAGACTCTGCCCTTCCAATGCTGGGGGCATGGGTTCAATCCTCAGCTGAGGAAGTAAGATCCTGCATGCTGTGTGGCACAGCGAAAAAATAAAAATAAGAGAAGTAGAAGGTAGAAGAAGGAAATTTTTTTTAAACGAAAAAGAGATGAAGAAAGCTAAAAAGGATTTACAAGAAAGTGATAAATACTAAAGATAGAAAGAGAAGATCCAGCATACAGATGATAAGTATCCCTAAGGAATTAAACCAATGCAAGGGAACGGAACAAACACGAAGAATTATAATTAAAGAAAACTTTCCTGAAATAAGAAAGGATTTGATATTCTATATTTTGTTTTGGGTGGTGATTACACAACTATACCCAACTGTCAAAATGCATCAAAGTGAACATCTAAGACATATGCATTTTATTGCATGTTTATACCTCAAGTAATAATATCTGTTTAAAAACTTGAAACTACTTACTGAAAGAACACACAGCTACCGGACAATACTGAACGAGAACAACCAACACCAGACATATTTTACTAACGTTATTAGATATTAAAGAAAAAGAAAAACATTCTTTGGGCAGGTAGTGAATCACAGCAAGTGATTTATAAGGGAAAGAAAAGTACATTATCATCATACTCTTAGGCCAGAAGAAAATGCAGTAATATATTTAGGATGCTCAAGGAAATGAAAAGTGAACTGGGGACTTTATATCCAGTCAAACTGAATTTGAATTATAAAGGGCACACAGAGTTATCAACATGTAAAACTTTAGGGAATAGTGTTGTCATGAGTCCTTCCTGAGGAATCAGTGACTGTAGCATGAGTTTCATTCAGCCAAATTACAAGAGGGACCCTGAAAGAACTGGTGGTGTGCATTAATCATATAGTTACTTATAAAACTAAAATGTAATGAGGATTAAAAGGGTGAGAGTATGGTATACAATGACTATATGCTTAGTCTAACAATTTATTTTAAATGAAAGAAATGTGGAGAATATATGCAAAATTTTAAACTATTTTCAGTAAATTTTACTGGTGATGGTATTATTAATATTATTAATATTATTAATATTGGTATTAATTATATTAATTAATAATGGTATTATTAATATTATTAATATTAATATTATTTTGAGATTGTTATATACATAATGTAGGAAAAAACAAGTAAGTAATTACGGGAATTTCTAATTTCATCATTTCCTGTGTCCTTGAGAACTGGAATCTGCAATGTGGAAGAAAGGAGATACAGATGAAATACGATAGAGGTTAATAAGTAAAATATTCCATAGTCCTGAATTTGAATTAGAAATATCACTTTAAACTCAAGAAGTATCATATCTGTATCTATATCTATATCTAATCTATACCTGTATCTATAGTTCTGCCCATGGAATTTATCTGCAAACAATGACCAGCCGAGTAATGACATACACTCCTGGAATTTAGATTGTTGTTTTGAAATGTCATTTCTTGATTAAAGAAACCAGGGCCTCTGGGACAAATGGCAGATTCCAGTTCTGAGACAGGAAATTTTGAAATGAGCCTGGAACCTCAGTCATGCTATCATGGCATCAGATAGCCAGGAGCACTATTAAAGATTTACTGGGGTCATGGCAAAGGGCTCAGGAGCCAATTTGAAGAGTCTCTCACTGGCCAAAGATGAAATAATTTGAATAGTAATTACAGTTGATTGAAACCCAACAAATATTTTATATCCATGAGTTCATAATGATATTATAAAATAAAACCTACTTGCTCACCTCTGGGGGAATGATAGGAAATGAATTCATTATCTTGAAAACTGATAAATATAGGTAAAGAATCAAGCATTTATCTTGCCTTTCCTGTAGGAACTATACCAAACTGTAGATAAGGGGAAACATCTTGTTATAAAAGTATTCCAATTAATAATGAAAAGGAAAAATAAAATTAGAATGTCACCATTTTGCTGCCTCCAGGGAAATAATGGATGTAGGCATTGGCTGCATCAGTGTCTGCTAACTTCACAAAAACAGAGACAATCAGACAGTATAAGCCTTCTGTTGAGAGGACACATTACCAAAGGGATAGAACAAGAGTCTGATGAAGCTGTTGGACCTAGCTTCCAATTTGCGAGAAATGCAATCAGTTCTGCTATAATGTGTTCTTAAAAATCTGTGCTATGTAAAATCATGAAATGAAAACCACAGGACTTATGGCAAAACTGAGGTTAAAAAAAAAAAACTGAGGTAAAAAAACTTCCTCGGTGACACATTAATAAATAAGTTAATAACCTAATAAAAACAGTAACACAGTTTTATATATATTATGTGGTCAAGAAATACATCAGTACCATAATAAATAAGGCACTTTACCCTGAAAACTCCTTGACATCTGTGGAGGTGGTATGGGAAGAGCTGCAGCTTGTGAGTGATCTTGCGGTGGCGGAAGGAGCATTATCTGCAGCCAGAGGGAAGCTGTAACTCCAGATGTGGGTGGGACGCAGCTCATACGTGCTGACGGATGTGGCTGGTCACGTCTGAGGTGTGTGTGTTCCTGGGTAGCTAGCTCAGTTCAGCAGAGGCAGTTTCCTACATTCGCCTGGTGCTTCTCCTGGAGGGAAGTGCTTTAAAGCAGGGGTGAGATTCATCATGCTCAAGTCATTCCCTCCCTAATATATCAATCAAGGTGAAACAATCTGCATCTTCAACACAAGTATTAGCACAGAACCCATAGGACAGGGAACAGAGAAACCTGTTGAACTGCACCGCGTGTGCAATCGGCAAACTCTGGCCTGGGAGAAATTCCAGAGGTGAAATAGCTTAGGTTCATTAACAGATAAAGTGTAAAAAAAGAAAGGGATAGAGGTAGAACCTGTGGAGGGAAGGCTGGCAAAGTTCTTTTTCTTGGTCTGAATGGTGGTTAAAAGGGTATTTGCCTTATAATAACTTTAACAATAATTCTAACTATAGTGTTCCATGGCTTTTTGTGTCTATATTTTAATACAATGAAAAGGTTTAAAAAATAATAATCAATGGCCAAAGGAAAAGGGAAAAGTAAAAGCTAGTTTTCCTTCTAAATTCATGTGGAGACAGCTTTATCAAATGAAATCATTCAAGTGACACCACTCATTTATTTATTCATAGAACTTTAAACTCTTAGTTAGGTGCCAACATGGTACTAGGACCTTAGGAAACAAAGATAATGTGACCAAGTTTCCACACTCCAGGATTTTAGTGTTTTTGTACAGACAGACATTTAAACAGATAAAGTACAGGTGCGAACAGGCGGAACACAGGCTCTAGGAGCATGGGCTTCAGTAGCTGTGGCTCACGGGCTCTAGAGTCCAGGCTCAGTAGTTGTGGCCCATGGGCTTAGCTGCTCCGCGGCATGTGGGATCTTTCTGGACCAGGGTTCGAAATGGTATCCCCTGAATTGGCAGACGGATTCTTAACCACTGTGCCACCAGGGAAGTCCCTCCTTGTCTTTAAATGAAAGTAAACATTAATAAAAAGCAGAGAGCCTGATGCACTGTCAATATTCAATAATGCAACTAAGTTATGCAAAAGTATTTTTTAGTAGAAATAAGAACTGAAGATAATGTGGTCTGGGTAGCCATTTAAGGGCTATTCGTTTTTTTTTAATTGTGAGATTTATCTTATATAGAGAAACTGCATATGTACAATTTAAAAATAATTATAGGGACTTCCCTGGTGGTCCAGTGGCTAAGACTCCACACTCCCAATGCAGGGGGCCTGGGTTCGATCCCTGGTCAGGGAACTAGATCCCACATGCTGCAACTAAGAGTTCACATGCTGCAACTGAGACCAGGCGCAGCCAAGTAAATACATAAATAAAAATATTTTTTTAAATATATTTTTTAAAAAACTTAAAAATTATAAAGCACCCCCCCACATTACCATCTTTGTCAAGAAAGAAAAACTGCCAGCATGCCCAAAGCACCCCATTTGTCCATCCTCAATAATAACTCCATCTCCCTATTAGAGATAACCACTAACCTGACTTTTTCCTTGCTTTTCTTGTTAAACACTTGTGTATGGATCCCTAAATAACAGAGTTATTGACTATTTTTGGACTTTATATAAATGGGCTTATATGGCAGGCATTCTTTGTGTCTTGTTTCTTTAGTTCATCCCTACCTATGAGATTCATCCATGTCGTTTATAGCTGGAATTCTCTCATTTTCACTACTGTTTAATATTATGAATATACCCGAATAATCTATCCATTCAAGTACTGATAAACACTTGGCTATTTATTCCTAACGTCATGTACACAATCAACATGTTTTAAAATAAATATTTCAATGTCAAAGAGTGTTCTGCCTATGTTCTCATCTAGGAGTTTTATGGTTTCAGGTTTTACGTTTAGGTCTTTAATCCATTTTGAGTTTATTTTTGTATATAGTGTGAGGGCATGTGCTAATCTCATTGTTTTACATGTAGCTGTCCAGTTTTCCCAGCTTATTGAAGAGACTATCTCTTCTCCTCTCCATTGTATATTCTTGACTCCTTTGTCATAGATTAATTGACCATGGGTGCATGGATTTATTTCTGGGCTCTTTATTCTGATCCATTGATCTATGTGTCCATCTTTGTGCCAGTGCCATGCTGTTTTGATTACTGTGGTTTTGTAGTATATTTTGAAGTCTGGGAGGGTGGTACCTCCAGCTTTGTTCTTTTTTTTCCAAGGTTGCTTTGGCAATTTGGTGTATTTTGTGGTTCCATATGAATTTTAGGATTATTTGTTCTAGTTCTGTGAAAAATGTCATGGGTATTTTGATAAGGAGTGCATTAAATCTGTAGATTGCTTTGCATCTTTGTTTCTTAAGGCAAAAGAAATTAAAGCAAAAATAAACAAATAGCCTAATTAAACTTAAAAGCTTTTGCACAGCTAAGGAAGACATCTGCAAAATAAAGAGACAACCTACTGAATGGCATAAGATATTTGCAAATGATATGACCGATGGGGGTTAATATCTCCAAAACATGTAAACAGCTCATACAACTCCATATCAAAAAAGGAAAAGAAAAGAAAACAACCCTATCAAATGGGTAGAAGACCTGAATAGACATTTTTCCAAAGAAGACATACAGATGGCCAAGAGGCAGGTGAAAAGATGCTCAACATCACTAATTATTAGAGAAATGCAAATCAAAACTACACTGAGGTATCACTTCACACCAGTCAGAATGGCCATCATCAAAAAGTCTACAAATATCAAATGTTGGAGAGGATGTGGAGAAAAAGAACCTTGTACACTACTGGTGGGAATGCAGTTGGTGTAGCCACTATGGAAAACAGTTTGGAGGTTCCTCAAAAAACTAAAAATAGAACTACAATATGATCCAGCAATTCCACTCCTGGGTATATATCCAGAAAACACAAGAACACTAATTTGAAAAGATACATGCACCCCAATGTTCAAAGCAGCACTACTTACAGTAGCCAAGCTATGGAAGCACCCTAAGTGTCCATCAACAGATAAATGGATAAAGAAGATGTGGTATATATATATATATATACATACAATGGGATATTACTTGGCCATAAAGAAGAATGAAATACTGCCATTTGTAGCAATGTGAATGGACTGAGAGAATATTATGCTTAGTGAAATAAGTCAAAGAAAGATAAATACTGTATGTTATCACTTATATGTAGAATCTAAAAAATAATACAGGGCTTCCCTGGTGGCGCAGTGGTTGAGAGTCCACCTGCCGATGCAGGGGACACGGGTTCGTGCCCCGGTCCAGGAAGATCCCACATGCCGCGGAGTGGCTGGGCCCATGAGCCATGGCCGCTGGACCTGCGCGTCCGGAGCCTGTGCTCCGCAATGGAAGAGGCCACAACAGTGAGAGGCCTGCGTACCACAAAAAAAAAAAAAAAATAATAATAATAATAATAATACAAATGAATATATAACAAAACAGAGACAGACTCACAGATATAGAAAACAAAACAGAGACAGACTCACAGATATAGTGGTTACCAGAGGGGAGAGGGAAGGGGGGAAGGGCAAGGTAGAGTTATGAGATTAAGAGATACATACCCCTATGTATAAAACAGAAGAACAACAAGATATCTTATATAGCACAGGAATTATAGCCATTATCTTGTAATAACTTTTAATGGAATCTGTAAAAATACTGAATCACTATGCTGTACACCTGAAACTAATATAATACTGTAAGTTAACTATACTTCAATTAAAAATATAAAAAATATTTCATTAAAGCAGTTTAAGAATGCTAGGTAGCACACCCAATTTACTTTTATATAACAATAAGTAATTAGTGAATAGCTATTATTATTTAAATATGCTGGTAAAATTAGGGCAGTAGGTTTAAAAAACTGATGTTGCAGGATTCAAGTCCAATTTCTACTTGACATTATTGTCTTCAGAAAATTATACAGAAATGTCCCAAATTGTCTGCTTATTCCCTTACCAGAGAGAATAGAGGCAGTTTCCCCAAACTTGAGAAAGCAGTAGTTGCTTTTATTATAAACATCAGAATGAGTTTTATATTAAATAAATTCAGAAACTGATTTTCTTCAGCAGGTTAATTCTGATTTCTATTTCAAACAAAGTTACACCCTTAATGCTTTAAAAGTTCTCCCCAAATCACAGAATTTTTGGTAAAAATGTTACAACTCTATAAATTTTCTTTCCAATTACTTTCAGAATTTAAGAAAAATTGATCATAATATCTAAGAGCAATGACAAATACCATTTTGTTAAAACTCTCTGAATCTCTGCTTGGGCAGATTTCTATGCCATGTGATTTTCTATGAAATTAATGAGCTATTCTCTATTCCACTGAAATGAATATGGAATATCAATGTAATTATAAAGATATATTTGCACAAAAATACTTTATTTTCATTTCATAATATTTCAGACATCTTTATTCAGTTTGCAGTTTAACAAGCTAAAAGTAACCACCATAGATATGGCTTAATTGCTTTGTTGTCTTAGCTTTGAAACTTAAAATGAGAATAGTCAGCAATTGCAGTTTAAGAAAATCTTGACAGTTAATATTCATATCTCTCAATTATTCCCAGAATTTGATAAAGTTATTGAATGAAAACTTTTACTGAATTTCTCTTCTATTACTTCCTTCTGTTTTTGAGTTTGGAGGCAAATCTTATTTCATGCTGGAAATGGTTCTTCCTGAAAATGGTGGCCCAATAATCACCATATAATTCTTTTTACTTATTAATCTTACACTAAAAAAATCACTTTCCACAAAATCTTGGTCAACCCATATAAGGTTTGAAATTAAAATCTGTTTAAAGACTACTAAAAATAAGCATAAATTAACTTATTTTCATCATCAATATTTAAGGCCACACATGTGCCAAGTAATGTGCTAGGGGGCCCTGGGGGTAAAGCGATGATGAGATAAAGCCCCTGCCTTCACAAACATGAAACAGGCTGTAAAAAATTACATAAAGTGTTTTAAAGACTATAATAGAGGTCTGCAGAAGATGCTGTGAGGGGAAGGGTCTGTCTGTGAAAGGTTTCTCCAAGGAGTCATTTTTTTGTTTGTTTGTTTGCAAGGAGTCATTTTTAATATCACATTGATAGTTTGAATAAAATATTACTGCCAAAACAATACAAGAATGTTTGCTGACTTTTATTCCTAAAAAAAGGTATGTGCTTCCTTTTATATTATTAATTTCAAGTTCTTCCTTTTACATTATTTTCTTAGCACACTTGTTTTTAGCTATATTAATGATAAACTAAAGGTAAATGCTCAAATAGGTCTAAGACTTTCCAGCTTTTCTTTTTTAACAGCCCACTTGAGTGAAAGTAATATGAAACAAATAGAATATTTACAATTTGGAATATTGCTAAATATGATTGAGAACCCTTGTTACCAAGCATTGTTTGTGCTTTATGTATTACTATCAATCAAGAAAATAGAAATATTTTAGTGACCTATTGCATATTGTCTTTTCTAGATGAAAACTTCTCAATTCCTCATAATAAAAGGGGAGTTCTTGGAATGGTCAACAAAGGCCATCACAGCAATGGGTCACAATTCTACATCACACTACAAGCAACTCCCTATCTAGATAGAAAATATGTGGCTTTTGGGTATGTGCATTGTAAGTTCGTCTATATAATATTCATATATGTAAAAATGTGGTTCAAAAAGATGTGGGTAAGTATTGTACACAGTCTATGGGTAACTAAAAATAGAATTTAAAAGCCAAAGTAATACAAATACTGTAGACAAACATGTTCAGAAATAAGTATTTCATAAGAAGCTTGCTATCTATAATAAACATGGAAACCATTTAGGCACAGCCATTATAATGTCCTGTGCATCCATCCATCATCCATCCTTCTATGGATCTTCAGCCTCAAGGATATTGTCAATTCTTTTAACTATGAATAACACCATAGTTCTTAATAATGTAGATATATTTAGATGCAGAAGTGAGGTGAAGCCATTTATGTAATTGTCCATGAACATTGTGAAGACAGAGAGAGAAAATCGTCCAAGCTAGAAGTAACTTTATTTTTACTGAGCAATTTAAAATATGGAAATATCTCAGGTAATAATTACTAGAATATTATTAGCAAGATGCTTATAGGCATATGGACCTAATATGGATGGTGACTATACTTTTCATCATTCCCGTGTTTCACATCTCTGTTTGATTACTGAAATGAATATAAATTGAAGCTTACTTTGTCTTTCCTAAAACGATGTATAAGGTGTCAGAACTTTTCTGAATATTAGATTATTCCAGCTACTCCACAGGGATAATTACTGACTCTTCAGCCTCAGAAAAAATTCCAGGCCAATGTTAATTTTAAGCACAATTTTAAAAAAAATTTAAGCACAATTATTCCTTCAGTGTAATGCCAGTGATATTTCCAGGTTGAAAAAGCAGAAAGTATATTTTCATCCAAAGGAGATTTCTTTAAAGAGATGATTTTAACAGCTACATAAGATAAAATAATGCATTTTCCTCCATTTTCCCTGGTCTTAATAAACTATATTCTGATTTTGAAAATGCATTCTTCAATTATTTTTTAAATCCAAATAATTCTTACAATTTCTTAGATCTTTTAAATATCTTCCCGTCATCTTGCTGGTAGTATCTTGCCCTCAACCATATGCTTAGGTGATCCTTTATATCCTTCCAAAAGGTACCTTTCTCAAACGCAAACATGCCTACTTTAAAAACTTTAGTGACTCCTTCACCACCTCCACCCCCAGATGCATAGAGCCTAGAGTTCAGAGCGGCATTCCAGGTCCTCCACCCTCTGGCCCTGCATCTTTTTCAGCCTTCACTGCTGCTGGCCTTCTGACCCATTCATTCAACCAGCATTCTATTAGGCACCTAACAAGTGCTAGTCCCGGTGCTCAGTCCTGGGCGAAGAGTGATGTGGCACAACTTCCGCCCTTCAGGGAGCCTATACAGTGTGTTGGAAAACCCAACAACTGTAAATAAGACAGTAAGACATGAACATGCAAGCCCTGTAAAGAGTGCACTGGGAATACAGGAGAGAGGGAAAGGCAGTAAGTACCCTCCAACTCCTTAGTAAAAGCCAATGCAGATCCTACAGGATGGTAGTGGAGAGGAGGAGTGCTTGGTCTCCTTGGTGATTGCCTTTTTCCATGTGATTCATCTTTAGGGGAATCTCTCGCACTAATTCGTTATCACTAATTTGTTATCACCAACACACTGGCCTCAGGGAGGCGCTGCACTGCTTTCATTGCTCTAGCCTAAGTATAATCTCAATTTTTTCCCCTTAAGCCTCCAAGTAACAGCTGAGTCTGGGCTGAAATATTTAAACGAGACCTGACAGAACGCCAGGGGAGAAGCAGAAAAGTAATACCATAATAGGCAACTAGATAATCTGACAAAATATAACTAACTCCTTCAAAATATAACTACCTTCCTTCGCTGCTGTAGAGCTGCCTCTAGTGGAAGATGCTTTCTCTTCCCTATCATCACAGAGCACCCGCAGGTTTATCTGAGCTTCCAGAAGCCCAGACATGGTTACCAAGGTCCAGAGAGATACAGAAATTTCCTTTCCTATTTGAGACAGACCCTCCTTCCAAGCCTTAGTTTCTGGTACATGAACTTGCCTTGTCTTCAGATGGATGACACTGGGAATGCCCTTTAGGGGAGATTGCATCAACCCACAGTCTTGTTGATGGCCCTGCCCTGTGGTTTCACAGGGAAAGAATATCAAAATACAAGCCTGTAAGATCTCCATTCACACATACATAGGTCAAAGGGGTATACATTGGGGACAGTGCTGGGGAGGAATTAATTTCATTACAAGGGACCCCTAAAATGGGGAGGAGTCACGGGAAGCTTCATGAGAAGGTGAAATGAGTACTGAAAGTCATGTAGAAGTTAGCCAGATAGAGAAGGCTGGAAAGCAAAGTGAGTAAAACAAATTTTAGAAAGAGTGAAGAACCTCTGTAGAGAGACCCTAAGGAGTATCCTATCTACCAGTCATTTAGTTTGGCTAGAGCTTAGAGCCCAGGGGGAAATGGAGAGAGTAGAGGCTGGAGAAGATGAGACAGCCAAGTCCTGGCTCTCAAAGGGCTGTGGGTGCCATGCTACTGAGCACAGACCCCCACCTGAAGGGGCTGGGAAGCCATGGAGAATTTTAAATTGGGAGCAACATGACCAGGTCCTTGTTCTGAAAAAAATCTCTTTTTAGCAGAAGTGAGGAATTAATTGGCAAAGGATGAAAATGAAGGTAGAAAGGCCAGTTAAGAAGCAATGGTAACCACCTAGAGGGGTGGGATAGGGAGGGTGGGAGGGAGACACAAGAGGGAGGAGATATGGGGATATCTGTATATGTATAGCTGATTCACTTTGTTATAAAGCAGCAACTAACACACCATTGTAAAGCAATTATACTCCAATAAAGATGTTTAAAAAAAAAAAAAAGAAGCGATGGTAATAGTAGGCCATAAATGAAGTCCTAGTCTAAGGCACTGGCAGTACAGATGAGCAGGGGATAAATGGAAAAATTCAAGATATATTTGGAAATTAGATTCAACAAGACTTTATGACTATTTAGATGTTGGTGGTGAGGTTATGGGAAAGGTATAGAGCAATGGAATCTAATAGAACTTTCCACAGTGATGGAAATGTACTGTGATCTGTGCTGCCCAATATAACAGCCACTAGCCACATAAGCCACTTAGCACTTGAAATGTGGCCAGTGCAACTGAGGAACTACATTTAATTAATTTAATTTAATTTAAATAGCCACCTGTGGCTATTGGCTACCATATTGAGCAGTGAAGATCTGGAGGAACTCCTAGGATTTTGGAACTGGTTGGATGGCTGGTGCCATTCACCACAGTAGAGAATACAAGAAGGAGGATATGGGAGAGAAGATCATGAATTCAAGATGGACAAGTTATGTTTCAAGTGAAGATACCTGTATGACAGGCAGATGTCAACTCCTGAATACCAGGAGTAAGTATTCAAGCTGGGCAAGGGCTAGAGATGTAGATTTGGAAGCTTTGAACATGGCAGCTGAGCTGCAGCCAGACCAGAGTGCCATCCCTCCCAGAACAGCCTCTGGGCCTTTGCTTGTCTTGTTACCTTCTGCCTTCCTTCAGTCTGCCAAACTCCTGTTCAAGGCTTAGGTCAGAAATACACCCCCTAACTACCAAAATCAAACTGCCTCTTTGTCCTCTTGGCACACTGTCAACAACTTGAAATAGGAACTGAGTCTCACTTACTTTGTGCCCTAACACCTGTCACAGTGGAAAGGTGCACACAGTAGGTGCTCATTCAGTATTTGTGAAACCAATATGGAGAATAGGCTTCACAGCCTGTTTTTTTTTTGTGTGTGTGTGGTACACGGGCCTCTCACTATTGTGGCCTCTCCCACTGCGGAGCACAGGCTCCGGACGCTCAGGCTCAGCGGCCATGGCTCACGCGCCCAGCCGCTCCACGCATGTGGGATCTTCCCGGACTGGGGCACGAACCCGTGTCCCCTGTATCGGCAGGCGGACTCTCAACCACTGCGCCACCAGGGAAGCCCTTCACAGCCTCTTTGGACAGAGGTGAATCTGTCCATTTATTCCCTGCTCTTCATCCTCAGAATGTATATTGTGTCCTGCTCTGTGTCATGTTTTCTAATTGGGATGGCAGAAAAGAAATGACTAGAGATGGTCAGTGTCAGCACTGACACTGTCCCCATAAAGGATCATGAAATGGAAACTGCACCTTCCCCTTAACCACTGCTTCAACCCAAACACTGGCAGAGGGTACAGTCCTATGTTTAGAGCTCTCTCTCTGGCCTCTGCTGCCTTTTTTTAGTTGAGAGAACCATCAGAAGTCTAGTTCCATTCAGGGAGTTCTGGCTTGTGGCCAGCGAACATGTTCAGAGACCCAAACTAGCATGGCTCTGGGCTGTCTTTTATTCATGTATTCAGTGGATGGCAATGAGGTGCCCACTCTGTGCCAGGCACTGAGCACTAAGCAAAAGCATGATCTCTGCCCTCAGGGGAGAATCAGAAATTAATCCAAGAAGCATAGAAATAAATGTCAAATTTATCCCTGATCACTCCTATAAGGGAGAGGGGGAACTTGACATAAGCGGGGCGGGGAGGGGGGTGGTGCCTGGGAAACATCCCCCAAGGTAGTGATGGCTAAGATCTGAAGGAAGGCCAGGAGGTGACCAGGCCAGGGGACAGAGGGAGGCAAGAGCAAAGGAGACAGCTGTGGCAGGAAGGGCACATGGGGTGGTGGCTGAAGTGCTGAGAGCCAGTCTGGCTGGCAGAGCAAGGGAGCATGCTGCAAGGCACCCTCGAGGGGAGTGGGGAGGCCGGCCATGGGAGAGACCTTTGGTCTTTATCATAAGGATGATGGGAAATTACTGAAGTGTTTTAAGTGGGGCAGGTGAGACCACATTAGCATTTTGAAAAGATCGCTCTGATGGCAGTGAGGATAACAGACTGGAAGGGTCCCGGAGCAGGTGTGGAGGAGCATGGCAAAGTGGACATATCTAGAGCTATTTAAGATATTTATGACTGATGTTAATTTAATTTGTAGGAAAGAGCCTTAGCTAAGCTAGATAGGACTCAATTTAGGAATGGAAGCTAAATGTGAAAATTTATGACTGACTGAATTTTCCATTTTTTTCTCCTATATAGGCAGTTGATTGAAGGAACAGATGTTCTTCATCAACTAGAATTGGTTCCAACAGAGAATGAAAGACCAATACAACAATGTGTAATTATTGACAGTGGAGAATTTTATGCCTAACCTTCATTATCAGTATTTTCTGACGATTTATTATTGTACATCTGATCAGCTGTTTCTAAATTAAACAGTGTTAAAATTTTATTTGAAAGCTGTGGCGGATGCTGTAGGTTAGCGCTCCCAATACCCAATCCCTCCCCATTTTCCTTTCTTGCCTAAAGCAAAATACACAATTTTCCAGCCTCCTTTGCAGCTAGGAGTAGCCATGGGATACTGTTCTGGCCAGTGAGACAGCAGCAGAATGCCAGTGGTCCTGCCCCTTCCCCTCTATCCAGTCTTGAATGCAGAGAGGCTGGAGCCATGAAGGAAAGGCCAAGAGAACAACAGAGATGTCAGCCCCAATTCTTGAGCTGCGGAACCAATACCAGCAAATCCCTATGTCTAGATTTCTTGCTATCTGAGACAAATAGATCCCTGTTTGTTGGTCAATTATTGTTACTTGTAGTCAAAACCATTCTTAATTTAGCAGCAGTACCTAATGGCCTTTGAATCCTAAAACATTTGTACCTATAACAGAATGATGTTGGTGTCTGTAATTATATTTCTGCCGTAAGAAAATTGGTAAATAACCAAATAGAAGAGAGGCAACAGAAAAAAAATTCATTGTAATATTTCGTTGTTTATACATAACATTCAGAAAAGGATATACACTTTAGATGGTTTTATGAATAGAATGCTTGTCTCTGAGCCATACCAACCATATGAAAACCAAGGGCTTGGGTTATAGTCCCTGTGGTGGTGGACTCCTGAGATGTTACTGGGATCCAGCTTTATCAGCTGCTCCTTAAGCTGAGATTCTCAAACCCACGTCACCTAGGGAAGTTTTTCGACAAAGACTACTAGACCCTGTCCTTGACCTGCAGAGTCTCTAGATGTGGGACAGGGATTCTGCACATTCGCTTAGCTCTCTCCCCAGAGGTTCTTATTTAAGCCACCTGGGCACTGGTCACTTGGGAATCACTGCAAGCCATAAGCAACATGTTTCAGCCCCCTTTTTGCAGTCAGTGAGGTGCTTGCCTCTGTTAGTGGTGACCGCGCTCAGCTGCTGCCACCACTGCTGTCGAACTGCTGCTCTGCCCAGACCCACTGCACTTCTCTTGCCCTTAAGTGAAGGTTTGTCTTCCAAGCACAATCTCTCTTTGAGCTGATCTTAAGGAGACAGCCCCCTAATTGACCTGGGGCTTGCCAAAGGGAGGCAAAGGATTTTTTAAAACTTTTAATTTTGAAATGATTATAGGTTCACAAGTAATTGCAAAAACAGAACAGAGCAGCCCTGTGTACTGATCACCGTTTCCCCAGGGGTCCTATCTTACACTACAGTATAACATCAAAACCAGGCAACTGACAATGGCAGAGTTGTCATTTTATCCTGTATATTGTAGATCTGTGTGACTGGCACCACAATAAAGACATAGAACTTTTTCAGCACCACAAAAGCCTCCCTCTGGCTAGCCCTTTATAGTTAACCTACTCCCTTGCTCCCATCGGAGCTCCCATCTCCCATCTATATATACCTCTATCTTCCTCCCTTCCTTCCTTTCTTTCTCTCTCCTTCCCTCTCTCTCTCTTTTCCTGTCTCTCTCTCTCTCTCTCTCTCCCTCCCTCCCTCCCTCCCTCCCTCTCCCTCTCTTTCTAATAACAGCTTCATTGCTATTGCCATATGGTTCTATCCTAAGCTCTGAGGTGGACGGGGAGGAAGCGTACTGCCTGTGTCACGTTCTCAAGTGACCCAGGGGCAGCAGAATGTTAAGAATGTGTGTTCTAGAGCCAGACAGCCTGAGTTTGAATCCTGGCTCTGCCCTTCCCTTGCTGCATGAACTCAGGCAAGAACTTCACCGTGCCTCTACTGCCTCATCCCTAAACAGTAGTACCTACCACACAGAGCTGCTGTGAGGGTTCAGGCGATCAGGAATTTGTAGACAGGATCTAGAATATGACCAATTATGCTATAAGTGCTCAATACACGGATGATTAATAAAATCCTGGTATATGACCTTCAGGGTGTTGTCTAGGATCCTGTATTTTTAAAAAACTCCTCAATGACTGATTAACAGCCAGATCTGGGAAACACTGAAGAGGAGGTATCTCCTCTTCTACTCTTAGGAGTTTTGGCCAACCTGAGAATTCAAGCTGTTTGTATGAAGCCTCCAGATCCACTCCCTGGGCCTTTGGAGGGGTTCCTCCAGTCACACTGCCGACACCTCAAACAAAGGGGCGCTGGGCTTGCCACAGAGGCTCTCAGCAACTCCCGAAGCACGGGATGAAAGAAACTGACACGTTGCAAAGGTCCTGGTTAAAACATTACAGGCATTAGTCATGTAATAACAAGCAGCAGACCAATTCTTACTGGCAATGAACCTGCATATTGGGGCATTAAGCATTTATCTGATATTGTGAAAGAACTGGGATATTTGCATGGGTGTAAGAAACTGATGCCAGCTCCCCTTATTTTTCAGTTTGGCTGCAATGTAAAGGTAGAACTCTGCTAACCACCTAAAGGATGGCAAGTTCATGGTCACTTTGCTCACTTCCCACTTTTAGGCTGTGTAGAAACTTTAGTCACAGATTGTATATGCAGTGGTTCTTACTGCCATCATTTAAAGGTACATGCACTGATACTTCTGTCTTAGAATATATTGTCTTAGAATGATTTATGTTTAACTATATCGTTTGGAGAAACTGATTGTTACAAAGGACTCAGAAGCTTATCCCAATTAACTCCAAGTATAAGACTTTGATTTAATCAAAATGAAAGATTCTGATTTGATTAAACAGAAGGAATTCTAAATTTGTCCAAGTCTACAAATATGAGAGTAAAGGCATTCTGATGCTTTGTACAAAATGTTAGTTATGTGACCTAGCCCTAAATGCTGATATGGCAAAGTCAAGTACATATGCTCTGTCTTACACCAAGCCATGTGAATAAGCAGAGTGTGGTATCTTTTCATTTTTTTTATTTTGGGAGATTTGAGATAAATATTTTAAATTCTATCTAAAGAATATGTTTTCCTCAACTCCAAACAATGCCAGCTATTTGTTAATGAATGAATAGGCTGGCAACCTCAGGATTCCACACTATTTACATTTTATACATATTTAAAATCAGGTGTGTTTGTTTTAGTCCCAGCTAGCTAGCAAAATGGTGCCTAAATCACTTAACCTTGCATTTTCTTCATTTGTAAAAAGAACAAATAGGAGTAAAGAAGTTGTTAGCTCCCTTCAGGCTCTAAAACTTCAGTGGTTCCCTGAGTAAATTTATAAAATCAATAACAATACTATTATCTACTTTGGGGCTTCAATTTCACTAGTAAAATCGAGGTACATCTATCTCATAGTGGTTTGAGGATTGAGATAATTTGTGAAGACACCACTAATGATCCTTGACACATAGCAGAAATTTGATAAAAATTATCTTCCCATCTGGAATGTCAACCCACAAAAAACAGAGAAAGTGCCACTGATAGAAAGAACATCATCATTTCAAGAAACAGAAAGCCCGTTATGCTCAGTGTTAGCTATTCTCACTAACATACTAATTTCCAATTGACTGAATTAATTCAAAGGTATATCCTCAAAATTAAAATTAATCTCTATCAACCTAGTGATACTCTTTCC